TATATGTTATTTTTTGCCCAAGCTTTTCACTGGAGGATACTATTAGAGAATATGTTTATTTCTGTGAAAATGCAGTGTGGTAAAATATGAAAATCACAAATCATTGCTGTCAAACCACTGTTAACACCTTAAAAATAGAGAGACTGTTATTGATTTGAGAGATGATACAAGAGTGACATCAGTTAAGTACCTCCATGAGATCGCATAGCATTGCATGATGAAAAAGACACCAAATTTGATGAAAACAAAATTTTATTGTCTAAATGTTTATATTAGTATTAAGAGGAAAGATCAAAATTTATTTTAATTATTTTTTAAAATTTTTCCTTCTTTCTAGAACATTCTAAATTTTGATTAAAAAAAACCTTGTTTCTCTTTGTATCATCAGAACTAGTAAAATAACATAGCACGTTTTTTTTTTGTGTGACACACATTAATTTGGAAAATCTTGCAAAAATAAAAATAATTGTCGGATGTTAATGAAACTTTCATAAACTATTCATAGATGATCGAAATTATTATAAATTTGTTCTTTTTTATTAAAGTCATGGCAGAAATATTTTTTTTAATATTTATTACCCCCCAAATAACTAATTTTATGAAAATGCTAGAAATTCGATCGCGTCAGATGTAGTGATTACAATAGTTAAAAGCACAAGGCTTTGAGGAATGCAAATCATGTTTTTTTTTTTGTTTTTAATTGCCCCCCCCCTGCTGAAAATCAGCTCTGAATTGTAACATACAAAACTCAATAAAACAAAGATATTATTTAATTTCAAATGCTTTTATTTGCTTTTAGTTGTTTTTGTGAATATGGACAATATTTTCTGAAAGCAAAAAAATTTTTTCGATGAAAAATGAATTTTTAATACAATTATTTGTTATTTTTTTATTATAATAGATTTTTACATTTAAGTTGTTAAAATATTATAAAATTAGTTAAAAAGCTCAACATCGGGTTTCCTAAGTGTCCTTATGAGATAGATCTTTTTTTTTTTTTGAAAATTGTATCATTTTTACTCAAAGACCACAGTAATTAAAAAATAATTTTGTGTTTATAATCGGGCTGTAATTATAAAGTACGGAAGACCAACCAGAATACAATTAAGTTGCGTTATTTGAGTTAAGCATTGTTCTCCACTGTTAAGGCCTTTTACTTTTGCGAAATACGTGTGGAGAAGTTAATTTGATTTTTCAATTTCAACTGAGAAGGGTACCTACAAGTATCAGTATCATCTTATGAAATTTATATGATCTTATTTTTATATTAATCTCAGTTATGACATTTTTCCATAAATGAAATATCAAAATTAATAATAAAATGAATGGAAATATAAATAACACATTAAAATGTAATAAATGTACATAAAATTATAGTATTTTATGTACACTTCTGATAAATTTTATAAGAAAGGTACCTATAAATTAATTATGAAATATGAAATTTAATCTCACTCTTAACAGTCTTATTTTAATTTCTTTATAATATATTTTCCAAAAAGCATTGTAAACGTAAAGATGAAAGCTAAGTACAAAAAAAAAAAAAAAAAATTAGAGTGCTGAAAGTTTTCCTTAAAAATAATGCGGTAAATAATTTGTTCACTTAAATGTAAATTATTTCACTTTTTTCTCCTTCCGTAGAACAAATTAATCTCACAGAATCAAATATGTCATTCATCACCTGTCAAGTGACGTGAAAAAGTTATGACCTGCTTTGTTTTATTTTCAAATTACATCTTTTTGGCTTTAGCAGAAATAGACTCTTAAGTTAAGCTTGGTTCAAAATATTTTAAATAAACATTATAATTTCTGATTTTCTTAAAATAAGTTTTGAAAAAATGATAATTGATATTTAAAAGAATTTCAAAGGAGATTTTCATTTTTTTATAAAATGGAAAAAAATGTTCAATTTTGTCCTGACTTAAAAAAACAAAAAAAAAAAATTTTTAACGAAAATTTTTTTATGCTAGGAACGATTAAAAAATGAAAAAAAAAACCCCCAAAATACTTTGATCTTTCCTCTTAATAACATAAACATTTAGATGATAAAATTTTGTTTTCGTCAAGTTTGGCGTCTTTTTCATCATGCTATGCTCTTTTTTTTTAGCGATCTCATGGAGGTAACTAAGTTAAGTGATTCTGCAATTGGGCAATCATGTATCTTTTTTACATGATGACCAGGCTGAAAACAACTGCAGTAAGTTGCTATTTTTTCTGCAGTAGACTGGTTTCTCAACCAAAGCTTTAGAAGTTAGTCTGTCCATTTATTCAACCCATAGCTGGGGGAGAAGAGATGGATTCATAAAAATTTTACTAATTGTGTGTAAGTGAATCTAACAAATTTAGCTGGAATTTGAACTTGGCCCTCAGAGTCCTCACTCTGAGCTGATATCCATTACACTACAACACATATAGGTTTCAATAATATTTGGATTTTATGAACTCTACTTTATGAAAATTGACATGTAATAAATGAGAAAGTAGGTATGATCTCCTATAACTGGCACTGTACTTAGCTATGTTTTTATTCTTTGTTACAATTGTCTCTTGAAGATATTTTTTATCAATTTTTACTATACCACAAGAAACCAACAGCTTCAACTAAATTTTTCTTCCAGCATTTATGATTCCTAGAATTTTAAAATAGTCATTTTTTAACACTGACCACATGTTTTTAATTTTTTCCTAAAATGTTATTCAATAAATATCTAAAGTTGTTAGGTTAATACATTGAGATTTGATATTAAATGTTTACCTAAGGAATAATATTATAATTTATTAAAAATATAAAAAAAAAAAAACATCAAAGGCCAGTACTTTATCTCAATCAAAATAACCCTTCATGCTTAAAACCATAATTTTTAAACTTATTTCAAAAAAATATTTGATATCATTTGATTCTTAATTTTTATTTTTTTAACAGATAATTTTGGAGAACATAACTTGAAACATAAAGACTGAAAAATTCCATGAATATATAAAATGGATTTGATAAGCAAATTAGAAATTGAGTGGTCAAAGAATTTTCCTGGAGATCCTCTCCCTTCCAATATCTTAAGAGAAAAATGTCATAATTATGTTACTCTTCAAAATGCAATAAGAAGGTGTGAAGAGACAATTGACAACCTAAACAAAAAACTCCAACAAGAAATATTTCTAAAAAATTTTCTTGAAAACTTTACAGAAAAATCATTACATGCAGCTGAAAGCAAAAATGAAACAGATAATGCATTACACGCTGATTTCATAACAAGCAAGCAAACATCAATATCTACCATTGGCAGCCTTATAACAGAAACTGTATCCATATCCACTGTGATCCTTAAAGAAGACACAACTCAAACTGAGCAAGATAACAGTGTTGATGGACAGATTTCAAAAAATGCTGATATAAAAAAAGTTAACATTAGCGAGAACTTTAAAAAATTAGCTTGTATGAATTTTGAATGTCCCATTCAAGTAAATGATGATCATTTAACAGATGAAAACATTCCAACAAACGTGAACAATCAGGAACATTTCAAACCAAAATTTAAAAACAAGTTTGGATCATATGCTGAACCGACTTCAAGTGACTTGAAACTAAAAACAAACCAACAGATTTTCAATTCTTTATCATCAGACAGTGTATATACAGACCGAAAACATAATAGCACTAATAATGATAATGCATTACAAACTATAGTAGCTTCTAAGAAAGCTATACCTCCAAGTCTTCCTCCTAAACCAAAGAAGAAACATTTATCAAATGTGGCTTCTTGTGTCGTATCAAATGCAAAGTCTAATAACAATGACAATAATAAACATTGCAGTGATAATATAAAAACAAATGTTTCACAAAATACGAGTTTAAATGCAGCTGCTGACCCACATGAGGAGGTAGGTGAACAGTTGCCATCCGATTGCTTTCATAGTGTCGAGGTGGGAAATTGTTTAGACTTTTGTGCAAATGATGTTATTGTTAAGGCTGGGTTGATTAAAAGTGGGGCAAAGCCCGTGAAGAGCAGTGTGAAACAGGTCGCTGCTAACTCACTATCTGTCTTTAAGCAACAACGTGGTTTAACATCGACGACAGGAGTAGACTCAGCTACCACAAAAAAAACCTCCAAATATAGTCGTTAAAAATTCAGGTAACTCTGAAATGTTTCTATAATATCAATTTTAATGATGTGTTGGATTACAGCTGCTGCAATGATATATTTCAATCGACAGTAGAGTATAAGGATCTGTCATATCACCAGTCGACACAAGAGGAATCAGGTAAACGAAAAAGCCTTGACATTGCGGGATATGAGAATAAAAAACCAAAGCCTCCCGTCCCAACTAAAAAATCTATTCAATCAAAAAATTTCAAGAAAAGTTTTCAGTCTGAAAATAAATTTGACTGCCCAAATTCAAGTTTTCAACAAACGGTAGCAGACGAATGTCAGAAAGAATCTGAATATCCAACTAAAATTAATAACAAAAACAGGGAGGAAAAAGAAAGTGTAGAAGACCGTCAACTTATTTTAAATAGGAAAGAGCTATCTGATGAAGAAAACGTAAATAATGAAGAAGAGAATGTAAACAAGAACATCAAAGCACAATCAGAATCAACAGGTGACTCTTCTTACCACAATACAGATGATACAGACATGTCCACGTTTAAAAAACAAAAAGAAGACATATGCTTCGTTAGTTATCGGAAATTGGACACAGAGTTTTATGAATCGCCATTCACAAATAATTCCACTTTACCTATGCTGGAGAGGAGATCGTCATTATTGAAAGACGGTACAATCTCTGAAAACCTTCCCCAAATTACTAAAGATGCTATTTTCGGACAGGAACAAAATCTGCCTCCTTTATCTTTAGCAAGGAATTCAACTTTTAAAACTTCTGGTTATGGCGACAAAGATGACACTAAGAAAGAGTTATACGAGAATTATGATCAGCAATTTGGCATTCAGTCCAAAAGTGTGGATTTAGAGTCAGACTTTTCGATTAATCCTTCTTTATTTATGACGGATACAGAAAGTCCCTCTATCGTGAAACAAGTAGATTCTTCTTCTGTGATTTTAGATGTCGATCAAAATGTAGATAATACAGAAAGCACAGGTAAGTTTTTTTTCTATTATTCTGGTAAAAACTGTTTCTTAAAAAATGTTACAGAAAAAAAATTAGTAAGATTACAAATCTAGTCACAAATAATTTTACACTATTTTTTTCTATTTTAATTTTACTGATGATTTCAATTAGAAAATGTTAGTAAAAAATCGTACTTAAAAATATCCGTGTACCCTTTGATAAATTATTAAAGAAAGACTATAATTATATTGTTTTCATTCATTAAACTCGATATTATTTACGGAAAGAAGTCGATTTTTATCAAATTAAATTATATTTTTTAATTTTTATGTACAGTTTTCATTTTTCAATCACGTTTTTTAAATGCCGCTCCCATACCCCAAAATAAGGATAAAATAAAAATGAAGCAGTCGGTTAGTATGTTGTTTGTAATTATTTTGATTTTTTAATAAATTCATCAAAAAATAAAATTGAAGTTTCTGTCGAGTAAAAAGCAAATGAGAATATTCAACAATTTGTAAAAAAAAAAAAAAAATCCTTGTGATTATCAATACGAGTAGAGAAAATTTGTAAAATGAGATTTTTTCAAAGATTTGTTGATGTTCACAAACAATGTAAGAAAAATCAATTTCAAAATCACGAACCGACCATTTAATTTTTTTATTTATTTTTTTTTTTTTATTTCAGAAGCTAACTTAATAAGAAAGTAGTTGCAAATGCTACCGAATTTCTACTTGAAAAGTGAAACTATTTTGACTTGTATCTGGGAGTAAAAAATATAAAAAAAATACTTCCAGTAAAAAAAATTTGCTTTCAAAATTTAAAAACAATATTTTTTTACACTTTCTTTACACAACAATATTTTTGTTTTAACTTGTACGCTTATTCTTTTCTTTAACCTTTTCTCATTTAAAAAAAGAAACGAAAAGTATTAGTTAATTTGGGAACAAAAATAATAATGTTAAAAAATAAAAATATCAATTTCACATTCTTGTGTAAAGAGAGAGAAAATTCTTTACTAGTTATTCTTTCGATCAATCAATATAAATCTAGGTTAATTTATGATTTATATTTTCATAAGAATGAACTGAACAGCATCAACTACTTATTTACACACTGCTTTAAAAGCTGAACAAAGTTTTTTTTACGAGGACGTCATTTTTAAAGTATCCTTCCACTAGAGAATAATTACCTCAGATAAAAAAAGAGTTTTGGAGTTATTTGTTTTAAATGATCTCAGAAAAGAATATTTCTTGATTTCACTAAGACGATCATGAACATGAAAAAAATGACTTCCTTTAGTTTTTAAAACTTCATTTTCACAATTAAGCAGCTTAAGCTTTATAAGATATTTTTTAATACTTTTTTTGCATTCAGTAGGAATTAAATCTGCACCTAGATTTTATTTTAGAAAAGAAAAATGAAATTTTACAATTTGCAAAAATATTTTAGATGAAATTATTACACTTTTAGTTTTATTTTAAAAATCTTTTATGCTTGCTCTCAAAATAAAATTAAGCCGTTAAGCGTATTTAGTGTACTAAATTGTTAGTATTTAAAATTTAATTAAAACAGAAGGCAACAAGCTGTAAAGGGGGGGGGTCTATAAGGATCAGACTACCTACTCTCAGTAGAAATGGTTAACAAGGTTAGCTCGGTAACCATTAACTAAAACTTAAAAGTAAAACCTCCACTGAACCAACCAGCAGAAACTGTTGTACTTGTCTGGAAAAGTAGTAGTTGCAATTCTTTTAAGTTAAAAGTTTTAACTTAAGAGAACATTTTAAATTTATGAAAAAGTAAATTGTAAAATATCACGTGGCAAACTAAAGCCAATTATTTAATAATTGGCTTTACTTTGTCATACTGATCTTGAAAATACATTTTCTTATAGATGTTAGTTATCGTTAAAAAAAAATAGTAATCCATTTTTCGTGAACTTCAATAAACCGTCATTTTGCCTTGCCACAGAATTGCGCAAGAAACATGAATGAAATGCATTGCACTACATCTATTTTTCAATTACTTATTTTCAATGAATTAAATAAAATAAATCATATTATTAATGATGAAATAATATTCAAATAAAAACGATAAGTTAACTTAGTAATGAAATAAGTCGTGTAAACTTCTTAAATAGATATTTTATTAAAACTTTTTTTATGACCTTTCCCCTTCAAAGTGTACTTATGACTCATTTTCAGTTTTCCAATCTCTATGATTGTTTTCTTTTCCTAAGCGTTTCAGTTTTCTGAGAAAATTGATTGTTCACCATAAACTGATTTTCATTTCTTTTTTTTTGTATCACTGTTAGTGTTAATGTTTCAAATCGTCAGGTGTATGTTTTTTAATTTAAATTAATTTTGCTTTGCAACTTGAGTGAGTAAAAGTAAGAAGACTTTTTTTTTTTTACTGTAAGTTCATTCAGATACAAGTCAGCTTCAAACAAAATCAATTGCCAAAACAAATTGTATTGAATAATGAATTTTATGAAAGTGTGTAAACGGGAAATATTTTTTCAAGTAACGTATATAATTAGCTGTCAAGAAAAATTGAAATTATTTAATTTTAATTGATCTTTTGTCTGAGGAACAATGTATCAATTTTATTTTTAGTAGTAAAAGTAGTAGACCAATGAAAAATGGTCCCGAAAATTATGGGAGAAAAAAAAAAGTCATAGCTAATAACTTAATCTTGGTAAGGAAAAATATTTTTGTCGTTTTTCAAGTAGAAAACTTAGAAGTTTTAATTTTTATTAGTTTTTATTTATTTATTACAAAATAAAAAATTAAAACTAATTCTTTCAAGATAATTTACAACTTTTCTACTCTAAGTAATCTTTTAATTTCATTATTCACACAAGGAGTTAGTTTCGCCTCTAAAAGTTTTTTTTCTAAAAACAAAACAAAAAAAGACAACACTAGATTCGTTTAAACTTTAAATTTAAAATTCGTTGTACCTTAAATAAAAATTACATTGTTTTCTTTTTGTTGTACTAATTAAAAACAAAACAATTCCTTCAACAAAATTTTTATGTGTTTTAGTTTACGTAAAAAACAAAACTGCTTTCAAGTAAAACAAAAAAAATGTTTTAAATGTCTTCGTACGTGGTGACAACAACATATATTCATTAACTAACAACAAATTTGTGACGTCAGCGACATTCTAGAAATAAGTTGAAATGAAAATGTTACAGTTACACTTTCTTTACATTTTTCCCAACCCACACTAACCAAAGTTATGTTTCTTTTTCTTCCAACCACTTCCAAATGCTTTAGCTATTTTTCTCTTTTATTGTACTGTACTCAACTGTAATACTCTTTCATTAAACTTTCTTTTCAATTTTTTATACTTCTCTTCAGTAAAGTTTTTTTTTTTTTTTTTTTTTAAGTAGGTACCTCCACGAAAACATTAAAAAAATCAGCATATCGTGATGAAAACATGCTCCAAAAATGAAAATATAGTTAGTTTTTTTTTAAGCCCGCGCTAATAAAAATTTCTGGAATCCGTTATATTTAGGTGTAAAAATGTACATACTTAATTCGAAAATAACCCCTTTTAAATGTGACAATTCTTAGGAAATACTGGTTAAAACTATATTTACTAATCATATATTTAAAGCTTATTACAATCTGACGACCCAGAATATTTTAAAAGAATTTTGATTTGTTTTTGTATGTGTGATTATGTGCAGAATTTCTGAAGTATGGATGTACAAACTGATAAATCTATCTTTAAAAGGTCATGTGTTTTAAGGGTTGCCTCCCCCCTATGGTGAAAAAAAACTTTATTGCCGGCTCCACTAAACTTAATTATGAACACATTTGGTTGTCAATTGGGTATCAATAAATTGATTAACATATTAGAAAAACAAAACCCTGTAGTTAAGAAATGTTTGTATATAACATTTTATGCTATATAAGTAAGTAATATTTGTTTCAAATCAGATTAATTTAACTTTAATTTGGTAATTTTCCTCAAATAACTTCCCAGAAATATATATTTTATTTTAGCAAGATTTTTAAAACCAAAAATTAACTTTTGTTTACAAACGTGTCAAAAATGGTCGTCTTGATTGATTTTACTGAAAAAAAAAGAATTAATTCTGCTCAATATAATTTCTGTTTGAAATGCACCACAGAGTATTTTGCTTACTGGAAATAGTAAATTTTAACTCTTTTAGCTTTCAATGAAAGGTTCAAGAAAGCTTTTTTATTTTTAAAAATTCATTTTAAATCTTACGTATGCCGAATTAGTGAAGGTACATACATTTTATCAAATTATTACTCAAAGTTTACAGGAGAAAATGAAGTATTAAGTAATTATTGAGTTACATTGTTTCAGTTGTTGATGAGTCTATAGTGGCGTGGGTTTAGGGGTTACAAAAATGAACAGTTGATTTACCCACATGAAGAAGATTAATGAAGGATAATGATAAGGAAACACATGGGCAATTTGAACAAAACAAGATAATGAATTTATTCATAAATTTACAGGCTAGAAGTTGTGTTAGGAAAATAAATCAGAAACTTTTAAAGTTTGTAGTTTTAATGAATTTTTATGAAGAGGAAATGTTCAAACAACAAATTAAATGATTTGACACAAAATAATATTCAAAATGTTTAAAACAAAGGTAATAGAGTTTGTAAAATAGGTAATAGACTAGTTAAAAATCATTATAAATGTAATGTCATAAGTAATTTTGAAGTAAAAGAAATATAATACTAATGGAATCAATAATTATTAGATCAGATCAGCTTAAACAATTTTGAAAAATTGTCTTCTCAAAAATGAAATAGCTAAAACATGATGCAAAATGGCATTTTTACTGTTCATTTAAGTTTCATTGTACAGTTAATGCCTTGTAACTTGTTATGATTCATAGCACAACAGATGAACTTTCAATAAAAAAACTCATATTTACACAATTTATGTAAAAACAGCCATAAGTGCAATTTGATAGTAAGTCAAAAACATTAAAATTATCATCATCTTGAACTTGCCATAAAAAGTATCCATTGGAGGTACAT